GATTTCATAATGCTAAACAATTCACAATAATCCTAAATGTGTATAGTCAGTGCTCCACACTCATAAATAATGGATTAAAGATATATTTAGGCCTATTACAGTGGTGCCTATAAAATTGTATATGTACTGATAGCATTCTTACCATCATTTCCTAAATAATACAGTGTAACAGTCATGTGCATAGAATTTGCACTGTATAAAGTAGTAAGAATGTAGGGATGATTATGATTTGTAAGAGAAGATATGTGCAGGTTACCTAATAACACTACGTCACTATATATAGTTATATATATATATATATATATATAATATATACACATATATATATGTGTATATATATTATATATATTATATATATATATATATATATATCTTGAACATCCATGGATTCTGGTATTTTCAGGGAGGCCTAAGAATCCATACCCTGCAGATACCAAAGAACAAGTATATGCTCTTGATCCCCCCACATACATTTTTGGATGTTGTGCATGTTTGTAAGACATATATAAAGTCCTTGCATGGAGCTGGTGTGTGTGCCCTTAGGATATGTAATTCTTTTTCACATCCCTGTTCCCACCCCTCAACCTGCCTTTCTCCATCTCTGGGTCCCCTTCCAATTTCAGAAAGATCTATCTCAGCACATCCTATTATTTACTGCCGTGGTTTGGCATTCTTACAAGGGGAACAATATAATAAAGGACACATTTTTTAATTGTATTTTATAATAAATCACCCAAAATCATATATAAGAAGCGCAGGAAATCTGTCCACACACACAAAAACTAAAGACTCCAGCTTGATCCTGAGGGCTTGATCCTAATATCCTGCATGAGTCCAGCTGCAAATCTACAGCTCATAACAATGCCTCCTACAAGTCCAACTGGAGGTTTAGAGCCCATGCAGCTCTGCTTCATGGTTCTGTGCTAGAAAGGTCCAAAGATCTGTGGTGGAAGATAGGAAGTCTATGCCAGCGGGATGAAGGATCTGTGCTAACAAGCTGAGGGACCTGAACTGAAGCTATAAAGCAACGCTCAAGGTAAGCACCAGAGCTCCCCCAAAAGTACCACAGCCATCCTCAGCAACAGTGAGGTCCTGAGCTCTTCCAGCAATAAGGAAAGCCAAGTTCCCACCAGGAAAGCCAATGCAACAAGCTTCATGAGGCTGAGCAGTGCACCATCTTCCCCTCCAGAGCCAGGAAGTGGTATTCAAGATGAGAACCAAAGCTTCTCCAAAGTTCATCAGAAAAGCCAGCACAACAAGGTCCTCCAGCAGAACAGCCCAAGAGAACTAGCAGCCTCCAACAGCTCCAACACCCTCTCCAAACAGCATCCCTAACAGCATTCTGGCAGCTTCTCCTGTTCTGCCTTTATGCTGTTGGCAACACTCCTCAGGTGGGCCTCCCACACTCAGCACCATGCTACTTTAATTCTGCAGGGTATAATAAGTTGACCACCGGGGGCTGGAGAGATGGCTCAGTGGTCTAAAGCACCTACTTGGAACAAGCTTGGCAAGGCATCAGGGACCGCGGTTCAATCCCCCAGCACCACATGCCAGCCAGCCCCGCCCCCTGGTGGGCTGAGCTGGCCACACACACACACACACCTCTCTCTCTCTCTCTCTCTCTCTCTCTCTCTCTCTCAAATAAATAAAAAAAAATTATAAAAAAAATAAAAAAATAAAAATAAGTTGACCACCAGTTAGAAATCCTATCTTCTATTTTGTTTTTTATTTATACTTTGGATTTCTCACATAAGAGAAACCACACAATATTTAAGCTAATACGTCTGATATATTTCACTTAAGAAAGTTTTCTTAATTGTCATTAAACAATCCCTAAAAAATACAGGTACAAAACCTCAAAAGCTAAGTAACTTATACAAAGTCACACAGCTAGTAGGTGGCAAAGCTGTCATTATAACCAAACTGTCCTATATACAACTACACACAAAAAAGACTAGACACTAATGGAAAGACCTATGACTTCTCTAGTGTCTGTGCAGGCCAATGTTTGTTTTTTTAGCTACAGTTGTTATTTGTGGGTCACAAAATCCATTTAGTAGATTAGATCACCATTCTCTTTTTTTTTTTTTTTTTTTTAAGTAATGGAGAAGAGTGAAGAAAATGGAAAGAAAATGCAAAGAAAAAGATCAGAGTTCGTTATGTTTAGAAACATTAACTACTGATTATAAAAACTTTAGTTTCAACTGAGACACAGTTTGAAGAGTTATGCTGGGCAGGCAGCACGATAAAATGTTAGTCCTTATTATCAATGATACACACACACACACACACACACACACACACACTTCAAAACCACCAAAAACAGATCACAGTGATGTTGGCTGCATTAGGACAGAAGATGAGATGAAGATCAGTATGAGCACAGTACTATGGACAAGGGATTATGAGGGATAGAGAGAAAAGAGCAAGCAGAAAACAACTCAAATTCAAAAACAATCAGTGAACACTTGAATGGAAAAGTCAGCATTAAGTCCATGTTGCATTTCTTCCAACTTACCTTGTCAAATTTGTTTCCTTTCCTCTCATTCTCCCTCCTTGCCAATCTTTTGCCTCTGAGGAAAATCTCCTCAACCCAGGCATAAACAATGCATGATTATAAGCGACATGATGGAGACATGCTATCTGGCCAAGAACTCAGATATTTGTAGAAGGAATACAGCTTAAAAGCTATTAACCCTGCCCGGGGATCCTATCATTCCCAAAAAAACTGTAGTAATCCTTCATTCCTATAAGACTATGTCCTGTGAAATTCCATTCAATAACTCAAGAAATAAATGTTGAAACCTGAAACATTTCTGCAGGCCTTTAACAAAACTTAAAGAGATGGGCCTCTAACATTAATGTTCCCCATGATATTTCTATTTGGTGTTTCTAAATGTTGTTATTCAAATATATGGCTACAGCAGAGCTATATTCTTACATTCCTTCTCTCAAGTTTTGCCCAAAAATGGTTATTAACATTAAGAAATTCTAAATTAAAACCATACATGGGATATATATGCCATGGGGGTGGCAAACTTTAATTAAAAAACATATTGCCAGAACATATCATAGCATCAATGGCAAATGCTTCTCTAAGCTCTAACACACCAAAAATAGTTTAAAGAACCCTCAAAATATCCAGCTACCCTTTCCCTTCTGACAGCTCTGCATTGATCTACAACACACATCCCCTACAAGGCTCAGCTGCAAGTGTGTCACCCCACCTCTCTCTCCATACATCAGGAAACATCTGTAAAAAGGTAAAAAGGGACAGAACTAAAGCAACACTTCAACACACTTCACTTTAATGACACTAACCAACAGCATATGAGGAAGGGAGCAAAGGTATCATTAGCCCTGCTTTGTGAGAGGCCAATCAAATGACTGAACTGTCAAGGTCACAGAGCTCAGTCATCGTGAAATTCTGTGTTTAGCAAGAGTCTTCTGATTCCAAATCCGATGTCTTTTCCACACTGCATCAGTCAACAATGAACAAGATTCTATTTTGGTCTCTCTGTTCAAGACAGCCATGCTTATTATCAGACCTCTACCACAATGGATCCAACTATCTAGAATATCCACTTAATCCTTCTCTTACTAAGTTCCTGGCCTACTCAGGAGATGAGCTAAAACATAGAACAGATCAGAGGTTATTAGCAGGCTGGTCAGTCAGTTCATAGGAGAGGTCAGTGAAAAACTCAAGAGGATGCTCATAGGTACACCTGACAAGAATAGGGGCCAAGCAACATCACCAACCATGTAAATGGCCAAAAGACTGGCAGGACAACAACAAAGAATTACTATGTCTCAGACACTCAAAAGCTCAACAACACATCATTTCTGTCCATAAAAGGTTTAGGGAGGAAAACAAATGATGCAGTACTAAAAATATACATGAGGTGGGGCTGGAGAGATGGCTCAGTGGAATAAGCGCTTCCCTGGCAAGTACAAGGGCCTGAGTTCAATCCCCAGTTCTGTCAAAAAAATAATAATAATAAATATAAAAATAAAAATATACATGAGGTGTCCAAAATTTTGTCCTTGCCAAGGCAAGGATAAAGAGAGAATTAAAGAATGCCAAAGAGTAACATCTTAACTGAGCAAGAACCCACCTAATATAAGATAGAGTAAGATAGCTTATGGACTGGCCTGTGAAAGCCACTTCATGACTGTTTCCGAAATTTAGGTAAAGATGTGGTTGACAGTATATAAAAAGTCTTGTAAAAAAAATAATAGTAATAATAAGTGCAGTATCCCAAAAGCAGCACTTCAGATACCAAAGATATAAAACATTTTGAACGTTTACTACGTTCTAGGGATTCTGCTTTATCCTTAATAAATGGTGAAGGTACATTCAAAACCTGGTCAATGGAGTGAGTGCCACGTTTTTTCCTCTGTATCATGCTTACATATTTTTGATGTTACTCTTTATTTGGACTTTGTTTTTGTTGTTACTGTTATATCTTTACCATTACCATGAGTTAAATCCAAAACATATTTCTCAGAAAAAAAAAAAAATTTCAGTAGGAAAATTCTTATTTGCCAAGTATTTGAAATGGCTTTATAAGGTATTGTTACTTATGAAAACCCTATTTTTAACAACATGAAAAAGATACAGAATAAGGTTGCCTAGTTCTCTCATTTTTAAACAAAATTTCTAAAATATGCATATGTTAGTCTGGTTTACTTTAATTAGCAACTACATATTTCTGAAAGCCAACATATCTTTAGCTTTTTTCCTACCTCTTTTTGAAGTGTGTAATTCATCTCCAAAGAATGAGAGCTGATTTGAATGATTCGAAGTTGAGTAACACTTTGTAATTAAACACATTTTTAAATTAACATATTGACTATTCCCTTTTACAACTTAAAATCAACAATCTAACATATTTTGCCAGTTTTGCCTCTTATTTATTTTTATGAGAATATACAACAGCACGCCATCAGCATTTTATGGTTAAAATTCATAACAAAGAAAATGTGGAAGATAACCTTACCATATCATCTGTCAGTGTTCTAATATTCAAATGCTGCAAATGAAAAAAAAATCAATCAGTAATTTATAACAGCTTTTTTAAATTATGGTTAACGGAATATATTGAAAAGTCTGCAATGATGCCTTGAAGATAACTGAATTAGATAACAGTCTAATAAAAATACATTATATATTCTTTTACTCTCTCGAAAAGATGGAGAAAAGTTACCATGTACCTCATAGTTTCAAATACTAAAGTTTTTTAGCTTTCAGTCTTACAAACTAGACATGTAGTACAATAAATATATTCTCACAATATAAATTGGCATTAAATACAGACTTGGAACACAACTGATATATTGAAATATAATTTGTAGAAATTCTTTATAAGAGAGCGATTTGTTCCCAGACAGGAGACCTCTTGTTCATGAACTACATTAGAGGCAAACTATGGGGCCACTGAAGATGGCACTTTGGAAGAAATAGAAGAGGAAGTACAGCTTAAGAGGAGAAAAAGACCAAGAAATGTGGACAAAGATCCTGTGAAGGAAGCTGTAGAAAAATGAGGTGAGGTTGCCCTCCAGCTGAGAAGCTGTCACCAAATCCCCCCCAAAAGTGACAAAATAGATGAACGCTATCATTCATATGTGATCAACTACAAAGATAGTTCAGGGCAGCTCAGTGAAATCTTCAGTTACCTTCCAGGGAAGTTACCAGAATACTATGAATTTATTAGGAAGCCAGTGGATTTCAAAAATTAAAGAAAAGAATTTGTAAACATAAGTACCAGAGCCTGGGCAACCTAGAGAAAGATGTCATGCTTCTGTGTCACGATGATCAGACGTTCAACTTGGAGGGATACCTGATCTAGGAAGACTCCACCCTCTTAGTATTTATAAGTACGATGCAGCAGAAAAATGCCAAAAAGGAAGAAAGTGAGGAAAAAGGCAATGAGGAAGAGGAAGATGAAAAGGAGTCTGAGTCTGAAGCAAATTCTGTTAAGGTGAAAATCAAGCTCAAGAAGAGATGAGAAAGGCCAGGACAAAGGAAAAGGCAAGGAAAGACCCAATTGAGGAAAAGCAAAGCCAGTGGTGAGTGATTTTTATAGCCACAAAGAGCACAATGAAAATGACCAGTCAGAAGCAACTGGAACTGATGAGGAATGATCATCGTAGAACTGAGTACTCTCCTCCTCTCTCCCATTTCTATCCAGTGGGTTCACATGTCCGGTGGGCACTGGGTTCTTTCTGCGTCCTCCTCTACATCTTATAAACTAGCTTTAGAATCATGCCAGACAAACATAAGATATCATAGTGTAAAAAAACACAAAGTTTGTAACATATTGTGACCAAATGGGTCTCAAAGATTCCAAGATTAAAACAAAAGCTTTTGATGGAAAATGTGGGTGGATAATATATTTCTATTGGTGAGTCTAATTTGGTAAAGGTTTGTGCCTGGTTTTATCGCCTGCTTGAATGAGATTTTTGTCTTTTGTGGTACTAGTAACCAGGAGAAGCCATTAAAAGCCACTGGTTATTTTATTTTTCATCAAGCAATTTTCAAGATTTTTATTTGGTCAGTATTTTTTTTTACACTGTGGTACATATTAATTTTTTTTTAATGTATTTAGTACAGGGTCTACAGTGTCTCACTACACAGATCAGACTCTTGTAGTGATCCTTCTGTTTTCAGTCTCGCAAGCACTGGGATTACAGGCAGGCACCATCACACCCAGTCTCAGTCCCCATCTCAGGGTGCCTTAGGGACGGAGCCAGCACAGCATGCCGGGGATCAAACCCAGAACCCTGCGCCTGCCTAAGCAAGCTCTTTAGTCCTCTGAGCTATTTGGCCAGCCCCATATAAGCAACTTTAATAGGTTATAAATATACAGTAGATTTCACCTACATATACATTTTTCCACTTTACGCTCTATGGTCTGAAAAATGTTTTTTTAATTGTATAAGATGTATGTCTACTATAAACAACATTAATTTTTTTGCTCTTGGTTTTAAAAAAATTTTGTTGAAAACACTATTAAATATTGTGATCTATATAGCATACTGGATGGCTTCTTTTGTCCCTCTGATTTCCTGTGTCATCAGTGTGTATTTCTCCATCTCCCTACGGTGTACTTAATCTTTGCTTTCTTTGTATAGTGTCTTTGGTTTCAAGTCATAAGCCTGAGGCAAATAAAATCCCAGTAATTTCAAAGAATGTTGGGGGTTCAGGGAGATAGCTCAGCTGCCTAAGCGCCTTCCTGGAGAGCTGAAGGTCATGAATTTGATCCCTGGTATTAAAAAAAAAAAAAAAGACTGAAAAAAAATGATAATTTCAAAGAACATGGTGTTGGTGCTTTCCTAGTAAACATAACTGTTCTCCACTAGAAAAAAAAATCTTTATAAGAAAGTGAAACTTTAAACTTACCTTCAGTACGCAACAAAACAGATAATAAAGCATTTTGCTGACTTAATGAACTTAATTCTAATAATGAAGAATGTACTAAAATGACTATTTGCATCTTCAACATCAGTCTGATTTATCACCAGTGGTGATAGTAGATACTTCAATTTTATTGCCAACTTAGTTGAGAACCCTTTTGCTGATTTCCTTGCTAGGAAAACATAAGGCCACTTTAAAAAGTGAATACATTAGTTTCCCGCAATGCACAAATTAAAAAAAAAAAAAAAAAAAAAAAAAACAGAAATCGAATTTATGAATCTCAGAACAGGGAAAAATTTTGTATTCAGATAAATGTAATCAATTGCCAATTTCCTTCCTCTGGCTCATTGGAGAACTGTATCTTTCAAAGACCAAAGAAAGAGTCAAACACTTTCTAGTAGGAAATCAGGCCTACTCTCTTATAATTATAAAAGGAGATGTAGTGACAACCCATACCTAGTAGAGTAAGTGACACAAAGTTAAATTTGGCATTCATGATTGTATACTGAAGTATGCTTTTATGGCTTTGGGGGAAGGAGCAGTGCTGGGATTGGACCCCAGGCCTCATACACATGCTGCGAGCAACTCTACCCTTAAATTATACTCCCAGCTGAAGTTCAACTTTAAACTCATGGCTACCTCTGTGATAATCCCACTAAAAAAATCCATACACTTTAAGTCTTTATTGTAGATTTTCTTCTTTCACCAAAAGTTCTTTCACATCATACAAAGGGGGAAAAACTGGTGGAGCCTAAAGTGAACACTGTACATGCAAAAGAATGTATTCAAATGAATAGCCATAAAGTGCCAAAATTAAAACTGCCTATTTTGACCCTTAAATAAGGAAGTAATAATCCTGGATACAGTGAATTAATGCTTATTCTTAAACTATACAATTTGCTTTTTAGTAATATCATTTTCAGCCTTTGAAGTTAATAAGTATGCACAGTTGTCCTTAAGAATGGATGTGATCCTGAGCAACACTGTTAGATTTGTAAGACATTTACAGCCAGTGTCATCCCAGACACATCTGACTACAATTAAACCAAAACTATACATGTCTGCAATTTAAAGGGGAGAAAACAACAGCCAAGGAAAAGCCTCTATGGGGTTCTCTTGCCAACAGTGGATTCCAACCCATTACGTTTGGTTAACTTCACCTCTTGGAACTTTATGAAGGGATATCATTATCATCCAAAATACAACACATATTGCTCCTGAAAGGAGTCTTTTTCAAGGTCCTGCCCCAGATAAAAAAAGTAAAGTCAAGTTCTAACCCTACCACGTGAAGTAATCTAGGGATTACAAAGTAAATCCAAGGTGATCACGTCTAAAAATCCCCTTTAGAAGAGTATTCCACAACAAATTGAAAACATATACTTGCATAAATGAAACATTCCCAAAGACCAGCATGAGCTGCTTCCAAGAAATGCCATGAGACAGAGAGGAAGGGAGGGAGAAAAGGAGGGAGGGAATAGATAATTTTAGGAAAAAAGAGACTAGATAGATAAATGCAATGTTTATTATCTGAAAACTGCATACAAGATACAAAAAGCAATGTAACAGATATGAATGCAGGAAGTGAAATTTACATGATAAAAAAATCCAAAAGATGTAAACAACTAAAAGAAATACTTTTATCCACCTTCAAAGGTCTAAAATTGGACAGCATTTTAGAGTGGTACTCATATCCATCAGGAAAAGCAGTCACTCTAGTAAAAACAAGAGGAAACCTTTTTTGTCATAGTTGTAGGGGGGTTATTTTTGCTTTTCTAATTTTTAAGCTGCCTCATTTTGAGTCTTCCAAGGGGATTCAATTAATTTATTAAACACTTGGTCTGCTTTTCAAGACAACAATAGCACATAGGAGCCCATTTGCAACCTATGCACAGTAGTTCACAAAAAAAGAATGTGATAAATCACAAAAGAATTCTCAAGCAGGAGTAGCAAACAAGACATATATATAGCAAAGGAATGCAGGAATGAAAAAAGTAACATCTGAGGAACAAATTCAAAAAGCTAAGGTCATGTTCATTATTCCTTGTCTTCTGGAAAACATTTACCTATTGATTCTTACCAGCAGCAAAAGTAGCCAATAGGGCAGGAAATGACACTATATTCAAGGATCCATGACGGGACTGAACATACTGACACAGAATATGCAGTGATCTGAGAAATTTGTTTCTATACCAAAACAATAAAGTCAGAATGGTTTCACTTGAAGATTCAGCTTTCTAAAGAAGACTACATAGCTCTTTGTTTATACATCCTCTCTAAAACCAACCAGTGATGATGAGTTAGAATTAAAAGTCTGAGCAGATCTAAGTACTTGTAATTTCCCCTAAAAACTGTAGTGACCGCTAACAGTGTACTTCAAAAACCATGAAGGAGTTGACCTGCTTTAGCAACACATATTCTAAAGTTGAAAGTACACAAAGACCACCATGGCACCTGCACAAGGATGAAAGGTGAGTTCATATGATGTTCACATTTGCAGGGGATGGCAGCATTTGGGGATGAGAGACAGGGAGGAGAAAGAGAAATAAAAAAGGACCAAGATATTATATATAGGAATTTTCTTTTTTTTTTAATTTTTTTTAGTACTTTTTTATTTTT